GCTGAAGCTGAGAATAGATGTGAAAACTGGGCTCTCTAGTATATTCTGTTTTCATGTTGTTCTGCTGAAGAGCTGCCCAAAGCTACTGCATGGAAATTCCCAGTCACCTTGCAACCCGAAAGGTGTTTCCTTTTAAAGGCATGAGCTCTGCTGAGAATCAGATACAGCATGTCGAGGCATCATTACTGTGCATGCTACCAGCAAACACTTGCAAACTTGATCTGGGTTTGTAACTCAGCTGAAAATCTCCTGTTTCTGTGCATCCTCTCCAACGTGTACTCTCCAGAATATAGAGAGTACAAAACTATGCAGCACTGTAAGGAAGCTAATCTGCCTCTGTCTTGTGTGTCTGATTTAACACGGCAAGTGTGGTGTGGTGGGCTAAAAATCAACTAGGAAAAAGGCACTTCTGCACTTAACAGGAAAGTACATTGCTTTCCCTTAAGACTCAGCGGATGCTAACATGTTTGGAGGTTTCAAATAAGGAAAGAAACCCCCAAGAAAACTCCACTGGGGCCTCTTACATACAAAGCTGCTGGTGGTGTGGCAGCCCCTGAACAACCAGTTGCTAAGGCTAGATTATTTAGGAGAAATATCATCATATGCTTGCCCTCTTCTACTCTTCCCTTGGGATCTAGTGTTGAGGACAGACTATTAGGTCGAGGGGATTTTGGTATGAGCCTGTGTGACCCTTCTTGCAGTCTTGCACCTAGATGCAATGCGTGCATCCTTCTGTAAGTTACAATGAACTCGCCAAGGCCTATAGCAACCGCTGAGTTAGATCTGAGTCATGGGTTGGAAAGAGGGTATCTTCTGCCCCTATAGGAAGTAGTTTCTACTAGCTGTATTGCTCGAGGCAAGGGCAAGCAGCCAGAACGCCTAAACTTGCTTGAATCAGACTGGACTATTAATGATGGTGTGCTGTGGCTGTTAGGCAGCACTTACAGGGAACTTCTATTTCTTGAGCTGGAAGCTGGAGTGTTTGTTTGCTATGCCCATGGTAACCAGCACCAGCTCCTTTTAGAAACTCTGCTGCTTTTTTTTTTTCTTTTTTTAATAGAAATAAAGTAAAAGGTTGTTGTGGCATGTCTCCTTCATCGTGCCGTGTCCGCCTCTGGTTTTAGTTTGGTTAGACATTTTTCTACAGCTGTAGACTAGGCATGGCCGGTCCCAATAGTGGTTTGAAACAGAACAGCAAGGACCTCACTGAGGTCAGTCGGACCTCCAGGAGCAGTGTTAAAAACTTGTCCCCTGCTAGTTCTGAGGTCAGATTTCTCGTATTTCTGGTTCCAAGGAGTCTGCAGATGGCGAGGCAATATTGCCCTCTTTTTTCCCAGGTCATGGTGTTATATTACTGCTGATACTTAGTAGTGAATTGTCCTAATACTGCCTTAGCTGTCAGCTGTCTCTGCCAATAATGAGCAGTACCAGGCCTAGAGGGGTCAGTTCTCCATCAGAGAAGCTGCAACAATGCTGAGGGAACAAGCGCTGGACAGCATATAGGATGGAAACCTGATGACTGTTGTCACCTAGGTTTTTCTCCAAGTGATGGAGAGTGGACCTAGAGTTGCTGGTACATTTCAGCAAGCCTTCCCTGCTGTCTTTTGAGTTAGCAGCATATGTCTTTATCTGTGTCTGTCAGTAAATTGAAACGGGCAGTTGAATCTATTTATACATTCAGCTGAGTTCAGCAATTTGCTCCAGATGAAGCAAAAGTTTGGGGAAGAAAGGAAGAGCCTGAAAAAAATGTTGAAATTGTTCTTTTCTCTGATTCAAAACTAAATGCTTTTAAAATGTGGGGAGGCTTGGGAGAGAACTGTTTTCCACAGTGATGGCCACTACCTGATGCAGTGTGCCATAAACTTCTCCAAGCTTCTCCCTTTTACTTGTCTTGATTCATTGTACTTATTCTCTTCGCCTTGTTTTGTGCTGGTCCTGACTGTGCTAAGTAACAACCGGGGCAGTACCTCCCCACCGCTGCCTCATTTTTTCCCTTGAGCAGACCCTCTTCTCCAAGCACAGGAGGCAACAGAAAGGGATTTGTTTGGGGTTTTCTCTTTACGTTTTTTAACCTCTAAGAGTTTGAGATCAGAAGAGCTGGGCGGCTGCCAGGGACTGCATCTCTGGAGCTGGAAAGAGCAGTTCACACCAGTACTGGAAGGACATAAGCACATGAGCCCATGCTGGGCTGCTCATCGCAGGCAGCAGTGCTACCATCTCCGCTTCGGCAGATTTGGCACTGGCTGCAGTGTGGGTTTGCCATGGACGTTTTGCCAACAGGCCCCTGCACAGGGACTGCTGCTTGCTCCAGCTTTGTGCTGCTTCTCTCCTGCTCTGCTTTCCATAGCAGCTACAGATCATTGCTTTGACCTGGTGGAGTGATGGGAGGTTTTTGCAGCCAATTCATTATTTTCAGAAGTCGTTTATAATGTGCTAGACAGAATTAATTTGCCTTGCAGTTGTTCTCTTAAGGACTGCTGGGTATTTTCTGACAATGGAAGTTTCTGCGTCGTTGTTGCGGATGGATTTTCTTTGTTCTTTTTATCAACTTTTTTAAAGGTTATCAGTTACCTTCCTGATATTGAGAACTATTGGGTGTGAAATAATTTCCCAGGAGAAGTGACAGGAAGCTCTTGTATCTGAGATGTTTAAAAGATGACTGAATTTAAGACTAGAGGATAATTTTGCATTAGCAAGAAAATGAGTGCTCTAAAATCAGTAATTCTTGCTCCTCTGCAATATACAGCACGGCACAGGAAGTTCTGTAAAATGTTCTGCAAAAAAACGTGGAAGCTACGTTTTCCCTGGTGGGTGTCAAATGGAAGTTTTAGTTACAAAGCTGCACAACAGCTTCATTAGACTTTGAGAAATATTGCTACTCAAAGCTGTACTTAGAAGGTGTGAACAGCCCTGTTCAGCCTGTCAGGTATTTGTAAAACTATTAGGACTTGGTGTGCTAGTTGATAATAGGGAGTCCTATACAGAGGAAGCACTGGGAGTAGTACATGGGGATAGTTGTAGCACAGTCCTTTCGTGCTTTTCTTATTACAGGTAGGCAAAGGTTCCCTCCCTCCAGTCTCCCTGAAGGACTGACCTTGGGAGTAGAACTGCTGTCAGCAATCTACGTCATACAAACCAACAGAAACTTCACACTGGGTCAAAAATTTCATTTTCATGACTTGTTCCAGCCCTGAACAGACCCTAGTCGTCTCTGATTTTAAAGTGTTTACTCTGGGCAATGCCCTTCACGGCCTATCTGTGTAACTCCTTAAACAGCCAGAGGATGCTGAATGACAGAAACTGTCCTCTCTCTGCTGCAAAGCAGTTACAGTGAGACATTAACTCTGATAAAAATATCAGCACAAAGCTGGTCGCTACCCAGACCAGGCGTGGGTTTATGGAAACATAGTAAATCAGCTCTGCAGCATGCCTTGTTGGTATATTCAGCCTCCTCTCTATGCCAAGCTATAAAATTGCAGGATCAAAGTGGAGCTGGGCTCGAGTCCAAACTTCCACCAACTTGAGGGAAACTTGGATCCATATCCCAACTCTGGGACTTGGCTCTGCCTCTAAATCAAGCTCTTATGATCTCTCAGGAAAAGTCTGACCCATGAATTATCCACTAAGTCACAGAAGGGCAGCCAAAGCTGTCTGTTTCTGAACACGTTTGCTCTGCCTACCCTGCATTGCCAGTAAAGAAATTTAGGTGGAGCCTTTCACTAACCCTGGAATGCTGATCTTAGCCTTTGGTTTGGGAAGAAGCCGTCCATCCTTAATCTGCTATTTTAATTTCAAAATAATTTTTATTCTCCTTCCTTTTCTCCAATTAGGTCTGTGAGTTGAGACACCAGGAAGGTAGAAGCCATCTCCATCAGCCTTTGCTAGGAACCTTGCTATACCTTACTGCATTGCTCGGGGGCAAGGGAGGGATGGAGCACCAGGGGAGGATTGGCTTGCACCTTCTCTGGAGTGAGCCTCAGTGCCCTCTGCACTGTCAGGTGCTTGGGTTAATGCAACAGTTTCCCTGTCAGCCTGCATGTGTCACCACCCAATCAGTCACAAGTGTTACGGGTGTTTGCCTGGCACTTGCACGCCATGGTGGTGCAAGTTTTCCAATAAAATATGAACGGAAAACCACGCTCATCCTGAGAGTGATAAATCAACATAAAAAGGAGATGGCAATTAAGAAATGAGAGATAGGACAGATGAGGGTAACAGGCTTCAGGGATCAATAGAGCTGTTTTGTGTTTAGATTGAGGTCTTCTCTTTTACACCTTTCTTCAGTGACCCCAAATTTTCATCTTCTGACACCTTATTACTGTATTATTACTTGTTACAATAATGACAAAATGTCTCATCATTGCTGCTGCCATCAATAATAGCAGCATTTTATCAGCAGTGTTTATTAAGTTAAATTCCATGCCAACATATATCTTCCCCTCCCAACACAATTATCCATGAGCTAAGAGACGGAGAAAAACATGTCACTTCAGTGTATCTCAGTAGTTCCAATGATTTGTTTCAAATTAGGTCCCTTCAAAGAGGGTTTAAAGTTTGTATTCCTAAGATAAGCCTTTTTCCTGCTGCAGAAGCTGATTTTTGGTGACTTTGCATGTGTTCTGTCACAGTCTCTCAAGAGTCCACCAGCTTCCCAGAACGGCCAGGCCACCATCCTAAACATTTCACAACCTTTCAGTTCCCTTCTTTATCCCATCACTTAGTTTGGTTTTGGAAGCAAATATTAAACATCATTAGCAATCCTGAAATTTAAAAAAAAAAAAAAATCTCAGTAAAGATCTACTGGAAATTCCCAAATACAGATTTTGTAAATCCTGCTTTGAAGGACTACAGTGTTTTCCCATTTTTCCTGTACATTGAGAAGTGCTGTGTAACGTGCTGAAGTGGGCAGTTTATGACCCACTTACCACAGGCAAAACATGGGAGTCGGATGTTGCTTCCTAAATGCTTTCATTTGCACTAATAATAAAAGAATTCCTTACTTGATTTCTGTTTGTCCTCCTGCTTTTCGGGCGATCTGAATCAGCTCTTTCCCATATCTCTCTTCTGCTTGTGCTCTGTTAAAAGAAAAACTTATTAATTTCTCTTAGCAGTATCAGGATCAGGTTTACACAAATCTTGTAATTGCATCCAAGGTACAAAACATGAGAAATGCAACTTCTTTAATTTCTCTATCTCCTCAATCCCAGTGCTATGAGTTACCTCTAAAACATTTTGGGTGAGGTATTTCTAGAAGAAATGAGGGAAAATGAAGTCCATCTCCATGGCTTTGATTACTGTGGAGTGCTACATACAACTCCATTCCCAGAATGTTGGATTCAAGCAGAAGAAGAGGTGTACAGAAGTGTAGTGAAGGTGCTCAGAATGGAGAGCCTCTTTTGCAAAAAACCGTGAAAGATGGTGGCTGACTTGACCCATCACAATTGAAGGCTGGGAGAGAGTGAAGAGTAGGTTCTGAAGAGTCCACTTAAGAGAGGTTCTGAAGAAATGGGAGCTGGGAGTAGCAAGAAGATTTCCCACCATTAGAAACATGAGGTGCTGCTTAATCAGCTGCAGTGGAGGCAGAGGGGGAAGGAGCCTTGTTATTTGTAAGGTGAGGCTGTGACAGTTTTATGGAGGGGACATTATGATGTGATGTCTCACCTAATGGGGAACTGTAACTAGTGACTCAGGAAAGTAGTTCTGTTTCTATGTTTAAGAAATTATTTCTTTGCTGTTTACCCCTCCCCCCGTTCTAGGTGAAATTTCTATTCTCTGTTAAAAAAAAGTATTTGTACTAAATACGTGTCGTGGTTTAACCCCAGGCAGCCACAGCCACTCGCTCACTCCCCCCCGTGGGATG